AACCGGCACCATACCTACAGGCTGGGGAACTCCCTTCTTGAAAGCACGGTTGCAAAAAGAGATCTTGGAGTCATCATTGACTCCAAGATGAACATGGCTCGACAATGCAAGGTCACAGTTGGCAGGGCTAACCGCACCTTGTCTTGCATCCACAGATGCATCTCTAGCAGGTCCAAGGAGGTGATCCTCCCCCTCTATGTGACACTGGTCATGCCACAGCTGGAGTACTGCGTCCAGTTCTGGGTGCCACACTTCAAGAGGGATGTGGACAGCATCGAGAGGGTCCAGAGGAGGCCACACATATGATCAAGGGACAGCAGGGTAGGTCCTATGAGGAAAGGTTGTGGGACCTGAACCTGTTCAGCCTCCACAAGAGAAGGCTGAGGGGGGATCTAGTGGCCTGCTACAAACTAGTCAGAGGGGACCAGCAGGCACTGGGGAAGTCCCTGTTCCCCCGAGCACTGCCAGGAGTGACTAGAAACAACGGTCACAAGCTGGCAGAGGGGAGATTCAGACTAGACATCAGGAGGCACTACTTCACGGTCAGGGCGGCTAGGATCTGGAACCAACTTCCAAGAGAAGTGGTGCTGGCTCCTACCCTGGGGGTCTTTTAAAGGAGGCTGGATGAACACCTTGCCGGCGTCGCTTGACCCCAGTGCTCTTTCCTGCCATGGCAGGGGGTCAGACTTGATGATCTACTCAGGTCCCTTCCGACCCGACCAACTGTGAAACTATTTTTAAAGTATATCTAAAATATACCATTTTAAATGCTGCCTTTATTGCTCATGGGATAAATACTATCTCCTGCCTGCTAGTTCCTCCAGCCTTTAACTGTTAATACAGAACAACCAGTTACCTAGATGCATTCTTATTAGCAGCCGCACGTATACATGATGTATAATGTACATTCACTGAGCTCAGTACGCACAGCTAGCACAAAGCATATTTCCATGGAGCCATCTGAAAGTCTGTCCCCATGTGCCTGAAGTGCCCATAGTACAAACAGTCACAAATTAGCCTGCCCAAGATATTTCTGTCAAAACAAACAGCTATTTATCACTGTTCTAAACAACACAGATCAAGTCATAAATCAGAAAAAATTACCCTTCTAACCCTAATGTATAGTATCTCCTTTCTCTTAAAACCACATCTGGTACAGATAACAGCTGCTAAGAGGTGCAATTATTGCTGTGACTTGATGGCCATTAGATTATTTTTAAGAACAATGTATTATGCTTGCACAATATCGTGCCAATAACTCCCTGAGATCCAAGGAGGACAATGCATTCCCTCATAGTTGTTATGGGGTAAATGGGACAAAGGTTGAGCAAGTTGTTTCCTTGCCTCAGTTAAACCTGAACTAAATATAAAACTATAATTAAAAAAAAAAGAGAGAGAAACATCCCCACCTCCATGCAGCAAAAGTTTTGTGGCCCTTTTTTTTTTTTGGCCCCTATGGATAAACTAAATTTAAAGACATTAAGGAACCTCTTGAGAAAACGCAGAGAGGAAGCCTGAATGTGAAGTGAACTTGCAAACAAAAAGCTATTTTTGGTTGGTGGAAAGCGGGGAGGAGGGGCTCACAATCTTGGACAAACAATACAAGGAAGTTTCAGATGCTGGCTGTAGGGGAGAGCGAGTATCCCTTTGTCGCTGGCACACCTAGTCTGGATTTAAGCACGCTCACATTCTCAGGCTTCTCGTAATTCCCAGATCCTGGGTCTTCCCCCCTGTCTGCTGCAAAGCTTCAACAACTGGGTTTAGGGCCACGCATGACTTTGGCCAGATCAGCCGATCATTGGTGGCAATGGTAACTCAAGGGCACAAATGGCAACTGGCTCTGAAGTGTTAAAATAGAGGGGGAGTCCAAACATGCGGTACAAAGCAGATGATATTATAAAATAGGCTGGGTCCAAATAGCACCGGCTATGCTCAAAACTGGCACAGGCCTAGGAGGCACAAATATAAAGAGCAGAAGTGGAAGGTCTTGCGCTAACCCGCAGCAGACTGTCCTAAGTTCAAGCGAAAGGAAGTCTCTGCTCCTGTCTGCCCCAGAGGTCCTTTGGCTGCCTGGTGGGTCAACGGGTACGTCTATGCCGCCTTTGTGCCAAGCCCAGGAGTTCGGCTCACGTGCTCGCCCCACCCCCTTGCTCCCGCCACGTGTCCACCAACTCGGTCCTGGAAATGAGGCCATGTAGCTGCCTTAAAAGTGAGCAAATGCCAATAAACATAACTGAGACAGAATACATCGGGGTGGGGCTAGGGCATCGGCTCAGAGTGGTTTTAAGGCAGCTACGGTGCCTCAAATCTTTTGATAAATGTAGGCACCTGAAAAACTTTGCCAAATCTCAGTCTAAGCTCCTGAAATGGAAGTGAGGCTACTAAATCATTTAGCTAACACTACATCATTTAGGTAACTAAATCATTTAGGTATACTTGATAACGTTACCTTTGCTTCTACAGCCACATCTGAGTTTAGCCACCCCAGTTCGTGTTAAATGTTTGCTGGACCTGCTTGGTTTCATGTGCATCCTGGTACTAATGAGAACCTACACCGTTCTTCTAGGAGTTTTTCTTAAATCATTTTTACTCATCTTAAAGAGGCAACACAAACATACATCACTGCGATAAACCTCCAGAGAACAAGAGCATGGAAAACATCCCCCACTTCTGTTGAGCAAAGAAAGGCTCTGGACTCCAGTCTGGAGTCAGCCTATCTGTGCAAAGGGTTAAGCAATAGCTGATGGATAGCATTCGAGTGGCTCTGCTAGCACAACATATACAAACAGCAGAGCTCAGTGGGATTAAGTGAACAGCAGGGCAGGTTACACTTTGCAAATCAATGGTTCCAGCGCAAGGAGCACCAGCCTTGTACCCAGCAGGAAGATTTTGTTTCCAGGCTGGAGTGATTTATGGACGGCAGTAACTCATCTTAGTTTGAACATTCACAGCGATGTCTCCTGTAGCATCTTCCAAATCCTCTCTCTCTTCCCCCTCACCCCCAACTTATAGGCTTGTATAAGTCTGCCATGACCAGTCAGGTCTTCAAAGAACTCCAAGTATATATAAAGATTATGTTGTCTGTCAAGAGTAGGGCATGGGCAAATGGTCTGAAGTTGCAGCAAAGTAGGTTTGGTATCTTTTCACTGTTATAGCAATGAGACAGTGGAATAGACTGCCTAGACAAGTTGTTGAATATCCATCATTGGAGGTTCTCCAGAAGAGTTTGGACCAGCATTGGTAAGGGATGATCCGGGTGTAGCTCTTGTAGACTCGCCCTAAGAGTACGTTTTTACTACACACAGCAGTGCAACGC